TCTGTTTACTTCTTGCTATTCAGCTGACAAGAGAGTAAATGGCTATTTTCAGGGCTAATGTGTAAGTTTTAATTCTGTTGGTGTGATGCCATAACAGGGTCTTAAGCTCCTTTCGGGCTCCCAGAGCCCACGAAGGCCCATGCGTCTTTTACAGCAGGGATTAGTAACACTGTCACCCAGATAAATGACAAGCAAACAAGTTTTGGAAAAACCAGAATTATTACTTTCATTGTACTTAGTTTTTAAAGTGAACTGAAACTTTCCCCACTAAAATTGTTAACGTCAGAAATATAACAAAAAATGGCAGGAGACGATTATGGAGTTCCCGTGGTGTTAAAGTGAGAATGTTTCATAGTGGTTTCACAGAAAAGTTTACGTTCAGTGCGTTTTGGCATTGGCAGTGGCGATAGAATTCATCGGTCACTAAGGATGTTCAGGGTTTTGTGCCGCCCATCTCCGCGTGCACGGGCTGACGCTGCTGCGCCCTCTCTCTCGTTTCTGTTCGCAGAGCTATAAACAGCCTTCGGCATTCATCGTCACCCAGCATCCTTTGCCAAACACCGTCAAGGACTTCTGGCGACTGGTCTTGGATTACCACTGCACGTCGGTAGTTATGCTCAACGACGTGGATCCTGCCCAGGTGAGCCCAGGTCACGGGGTTCAGTCTGGGTGGGCTTTGTCTGAAGGAGATGGGCAAGCCCCACAGCCGGTGTTCGCAGACCCGGTGAAGGGTGTGAAAACACAAGGGTAACACGTGAGAAACGGTCGCTGCAGAGGGAAGACGGTGAAAACCGAGAGGACAGACAGACTGAAGGCGTAGATACGGGAACTAGAAGGGCAGAACTGACCAAAAACAAACAAGTAAATAAAATTCCTATCTGTGAGCTTCAAGGGCGCAGACTGAGTCCAAGCTGAACTGGGAGACACACATCGCAGAGCTAAAGAGAGAGCAGGCCCACCTGTGGAGACAGGAGACTGGCCTGAGCCTCCTACTTGGGTATCTGTGCTACGGGGAGCTGCTCATCTGGGGCCTGTGAAAAGGGGCACTGGGGTGGTGGGACAGGGGAAACAGGCTTAAAGAGGGACACTGCACTTTGTAAAGACAGCAGAAGAAACAAAACTGGCACTGGCTGTAAGCCCAGAACATTCAGTGGGGCCTCTCACAGAGACATCAGGGAGGTGGCCAGGGTAGCCGAGTCTTCTTGGAGGAGGGAGCCGTCAGGTGAGGCTTCGCACCAAGGTCCTTTGGGATGAGAACCTATTCTCCTCACAGGCGTCACCGCCATGACAGAGAGCACTAGGAAAACTTCGAGCATGGTGTGTGTGTTAAGAATAAACTTGTTTGGGGATTAATTTCCTATCCAGTATAGAAATTTTGTCTTTAAATAGGGTGTGAGTGCTGGTGGGGGGGGGGGGAGAACCCCTGGAGTGTTTTAGCATCTTAAACAGGATGAGATGTTTCTTTCCCAAAATATATCCTGTTGCCGTTAATGTTCCATATGTAGCTAGGGTTTTTCTGTTGATGACACTGCATGCTACGGTTAAGGCTCTCGCTTAAAAAAGCTAGCTGGTCAGATAATAATGACAGTCCTTGTTCTTCCCTATTCCTTTTGGCTTAGCTTCAGTATTTAGAATTCTCCCCCCCACCCCCCACTCCCCCCCCCCTCAGAACAGACTGTCAGTGTTTACAAAAGCCAGCCCAATTCAGTAGAACCAAGAACTGTCACTCTTAACTTCTGGGCAGCAGTTAGATTTCCCAAACTTAAGAGCTGGGCAAGGGGTTCTAGAATGTGTTCCCTGTGTAGAGTCGGTTTGCCTTGTCCCTAATGTGAAGAAGGTACGGATGGGTCACCTACCGGTCAGCAACGCTAGTGGCGTCTGTGAACACAGCATCTGAATGCTGAATGCCACATTGTAAATGCAAACTATCTGGAATCCACCCAAGCCTCGGCTGACTGGCAGTCAGAGAGACAAAAAGACTCCCATTCTATTCAGTAGACAGAGCTGATTTCCAGGGTGGGGGGGGAGGGTGCTCCTGGGACTCTGTCTTTTAGCAAATGCTAAACTGAGCGTTGGAACTCAGAGGCCTTGCGAGACTGCCATGAGACTACTTTATGTATTTATCGGGCCAGTTCATGGATGTGTTCTGCACCATTTAAGCCATTTTCTACATGGTTTCCTTTGGGCAGAATGTAGGACACAGTGTGCCAAGAGCTAGATGCCAGTCTGGGCCATTCATATTTCCGTGGTGTAAATGGCAAGCATTTCATCCGGCGCTTGATCTTCGAAAATAAGCAGGGAGAAAAGCCAGCCCTGTCCACAGAGAAATGGGCAGAACCGTTCAGATGTGTTTGCTATGGCTTTTATTCCTGGCATCATGCCTATTAATATTAACAGTGGGCACCCTTGGGTATCAGAATGGAAATAAACATCTGCACACTATAGTTTGACGAGGTAGTTTAATAGCTCACCACCGGGAAGTGCTGATGAGGAAGAAAAAAAATCACCCTGGAAGCATTATTTAAAAATATATTAGCTAGGCTGTTGGATTTAGAAACTAATTAATTTAAAGAAGAGTCTTGGTTACTTTCTCTCCTAATCTTTATGATGGATTAAAGATTCATCATGGATGGGGGGGGAGACAGGGTGCTATTTCAGTTGGTTCACTGTTAACTGAGAATTTACCTTGCAATGTTGAAGGATGGGGGAAGTCCTTCTGTGTATATGTTGTCCTATTGGTTGATAAATAAAGCACTGCTGGCCAATAGGGAAGCAAGATAGGTGGGACTAGGAGTCAAGGAGGATTCTGGGAAATGTAGTCAAGAGTGGAGGGTCACCATGTGATCCCAGGAGGAAAGGGCACAAGCCTGGCATTCTCAGTAAGATCTTATAAAATATATACATATGTGTGTGTTAATAATTATGGGTTAATAATTAAGTCAGAGCCAGCTATTAAGAAACCATAGCAAGCAACAAACAGCTTCATAATTAATATAGCATCCTGTGTGTTCATTAGGGACTGATGCAGCTCAGGGACCAGGCTGGTGGGAAGAATGCATGTTACAGTTGAATATATAGCTCAACCTTTGCAACACGTGACAGTGACATTGTAGACCATTTCAAAAGTAAAAGCCACACAGAAAGAAAACTCAGCCCATGGAGCCAGCTTTTGTGGAACACCAATTTGCTTAAAACAAGTGGGAAGACACAGCCCCGCCTGCAAGGTTGCCAACTCTGAATCTTATCCCCTGGCTAACACGTGCCTTTTGAGAAAACAGCCCAAGATGAGGAGAACTGTAGTTGAGGACACAGCCACCACGAAAATCCTGGTGTCTGGGCCATTTAGGAAGAAAAGGAACTGAGTTTTAGAGAATTATGTTGCTGCTGACCTCCTCCAGTAACTACACTTGTCTTTCTGTTTTTGGGGGGGATTCAGTTGTGTCCACAGTACTGGCCAGAGAACGGAGTGCACAGACACGGCCCAATCCAGGTGGAATTCGTGTCTGCCGACTTAGAGGAAGACATCATCAGCAGGGTCTTCAGGATTTACAATGCCTCCAGGGTAAGGGCAGGGCTCATGGTGCTTGAACTGGGGTCTCGTTGCTGTCCTACCGAATGTTGGCCACGCCTACTCTCTGTACCAGGCTCCATTCTAGGGGACCAGAATGTCTCTGTCTACAGAGCAGAACCCTGGCCTGATGGGGGTCTATGCACTAACGGGAAGGTTACTAAAAAAGAGAGTTACTAACACGTTAAGGCACAATAATAAAGACTCTGTTCGGTGCTGCAGACATGGACCACTGTGGCGAATGCTACCTGAATCGAGCAAGGGGAGTGGGGAAGGGTCTAGCCTAGAACAGATAGGGAAAATCAGGGCAAAGGGACTCTTGCTGAAGACGGGCCAGAGAGAGCTGGTATCACTAGGGCATGGTGGAGGCTGAAGACCCCAATGGGATATGGAGCAGTCAACTTGCTGGAGGGGAGGATGCTCACAAAAACCGACGCAGTGTGGGTTGCAAAAAAAAAAAAAAAGTGAGTTCTACATAGAACTGCAAAGATGGGACCCCTAGGGAGAGACCTGACTAAAACCAAGGTTGTCTATTGGGAGACAACGAACAACAGGCACAGCAGATAGAATTACGGTGTGCTAGAAAGAGATACATTTTTAAAGGACCACCAGTCCTCCTTTGCAGTAGGCATTCCATGTGAGTGGACACTGGGGGGAGGAAGGGGGCAGCCATGGAAAACGGCCCTCAGGCAGGAAGGGCCCCACAGAGGCTGTATGGTGGAGCTGGAGAGTTGTCAGGGCCTCCTCCACCGATGCTAGCACACTCTTGCTTGAAAGCAAATGAAAAGCCGCTAAGCCGTTACGGGGGTGTTTCAGAAGAACCGACTGCTCCCACCAAACGATTCACGTCTGTAGCTGAACACACACGCTGGTTCTGCCTTGAGATCACTCAGTAGACAGAAGGGCCAGGTGACAAATGACAGTGGTAGGACAAGAGGGGTGACACTTGGAGATAGTAAGCAGTGGACACACAGGCTAGATCCTGGAGCTGGAACTTCGGGGTCCCGGAGAGTCAAGGTGACTCTCAAGATTTGAATCCTAAGAAGGGAGTGGTGTGAGTGTCATTAACTGGAATGTTTTGCCTGTGGGAAAAACAGATGGCTTGGGGTAAACTGCTGAGCGGAGGCTCAATTTGGGACACAGTAGGCTTGCGATGACTGTTTGAGCCCTGGGGTTGGCTTTTTGAGTACATGAGGGTGACATTGGGAATGCAGGTCTAAATGGTGACTGACTTGTGAAACCTGAAGTCATGAAACTGACTGAAATCAACCAGTGAGATCAGGGGAGAGGAGGGAACCCCAAAACGGAGCCTAGAGGCTTCTGTCAGGGGAGACTGAGGCAGAGAAGGAGAAACAGCTGACAAGGACAGCAGACTGAGAGACCCACCTGTGTCAAGAGGGTCCCTTCCAAAGCTGAAGCCAGCAGTGCACAATTTGAATTCCACAATCCTGTTTAATTAAATGTAGTGATTAATTAACTATTGACAGCACAGCAAAAGCCGTTTTATACAGAGAACAGGGTAGAAACTACGTTGCATCGAACTCACAAACATTTCTAGGTTGTAATTTACCCCTTACCTTTAATTTACTTGTAATTAAAGTGAAGCCATTTTCCCACATAAATGCACAGCATGGCCGGTCCTGTTGTTACATTTTCCTCTTGGCTTTTTACAAAATGTAAGCATCCCACGCCACTCTCCTTTACCTCTGGCCTGTCATTTAAAAACACCTGGGCCTTTATTGTCACCAGAGCCTAAAGTCATAACTCCCCAGGTCTGCAGAATTACCCTTTGTTGTATGCTGGCTTGAGGCTCCTGAATAGCAACCTTTCTCTGCTGGGAAGATCAAGAGGGAGGAATCAGGGGCCCAGGATCCAGTGGGGTTAAGTGATGCTTGTTTCCTCCGCCCCTCCCCCTGACCGGTGCCTCACCCTCTGCAGCCACAGGATGGACATCGGATGGTTCAGCAGTTTCAGTTCCTGGGCTGGCCGATGTACAGGGATACACCGGTGTCCAAGCGCTCCTTCCTGAAGCTCATCCGCCAGGCGGACAAGTGGCAGGAGGAGTACAACGGAGGCGAAGGTCGCACGGTCGTGCACTGCTTGTAAGTAGTCCAGCAGGGGTTTTCCTCTCAGCGGGGCCTGGCCCCGCCCATCTTCCTCCTGCCATCCTACTATCAATACAGAAGAAACTAGCAGCTCTGGGCCCAAGGGGTGACCAGCTCTCTTACTGACCGCCCCGTTGGTTTTTCTAGACGCCCAACTGTGCTTCTAGTGCACAATTGCATACTTGGGTGTCTTAGCCCTGCCTTCTAACAAGATATAGGAGGCCAAGAGGTTTATAAGCCACAGAGTTTGATTCGGTTCGCCATTTCGGAAGCTGATGAAACCAAGAGTGCAGTCCTGGCGTCCGATGAGGGTCACAGCACGGAAGAGGGCATCACCTGGCAAGACAATACGTGTGCTAGCATAGGTCACTCTCCTCCTTATAAAGCCACTAATGCCACCACTGATAGCCTTCGTCTGATCCAGAGAACCTCCCACAGGCCTCAACTTGTGATGTCATTGATGTCTTTGGAGATTAAGTTCCCAACACGGGAACCTGGAAAGCACACTGAAACTACTGGTGGTCTGTCACGTGATCAAAATAGACTTCTACCCTTCCCCGGAGGAGAGGAAAACGCAGCGATGGCTTCAGAGACAACTCCTACCTGGCTGTTAAACTGCTGGTAACTTGAAGTCACCCATAGGAGAAGAAACCAGCCAATGGCACAATCAAGGATCCCTCCCCGATGGCCAAAGCTGCGTCATTTTCATTGTAATGATTGAAGATTCTACTGGATACCATGAGGGAACTTCCTTCCAAAAAAACCTTTTTTCCCCTCATCCCAGTTGCAGGAGATGTTCTTCTGTAAATGAGCATATGGGTAGGATTTGATTAGGGTCTGCCATAGTTTGGTCTGGAGTATCCCATGAAAACTCCCATGGTAAGTGCTTGGTCTTAGTGTGTATCATGAGGAAGCATTATGGGCCTCCTGGGAGGTCTTTAGGCCATTGGAGACACACCCCAAATGAAATTATGGAACTCTGGGCACTTTCTTTTTGTCTCCCTCTGTCCATGAGGCCAGCAGGCTTTGTCATGTACCCCACCCCGGTGACATGCTGCTGCCCCAAAGCCATGGGGCCAGCCAGTCTGGGAACTCCACAGCTGTGGGCCAAACTAGCCATTGTCTCCCCATGAGCCGTTTATCCCAGCATTTGTTACAGGGACTGAAAACTGACAAGCACAAAACCCGTGCCCTCTGAAGGGTGGCATCTAGGTCAATAGTTACAGCACAGCAGGTGCTAAAACGTAAAAGTCCTTGGCCAAATCCTTCCCAATCGGACCTGTGCGTTGGCAATCATTTGGGGAGTTTCAGTAAATTACACCCCTCAGGCCACACTGACACCGGTGAAGTCACAATCTCGGCATGGAACCCAGGCATCTGTGCCATTGCGAACCCCTGGATGATTTCCCAGTGCTGCCGATGCTAAGAGCCACTGAGGAGAAAACGCCTCTCTTCCTGGAGCACTTTCACCCACACTCTCTCATTGGCCACGGGTCCTGCCAATCATCCAGCTGGAATTGGCTCAATGGAGCAGGCGATTAAAAGGCACGGCAGCCGGGGAAGATGCTTATAGAGGGTTTGTGGGAGCCCGACATCATTAGAAGCGTATGGCAAGATCACTCCCAAATGGAGGGACCATGAACATGCCCTCTGAGCAGAGCACCCCAAGTTTCAGTGGCAACTGGGTGAGGGTCCAGGTTACTCCAGGCTCCCTGCCCTTATACCTCATGTGGTGGAACTCCTGAATTCTTCTCACCCCCTCTTCATGCTACAGAAAGGATTCCCTTGGAAAGAGTCTTCGGAACCTACTCCGACCTGTCCTCCACCTCTAGCCCTCCCATACTGTCTTACATCAAGCAGGGTTCTCCCCCCTCCCCGTGTTCTGGACTCCACCCCTGCCGTAGACTCAGTGCTTGAGATGAGTGGCTCACCGTACTGAGCTCAACAAATCACAGCAGGGCTTTTTTTTTCAGCCAAGGCATTGATCTCCCAGTAACTTGTCAAAATGATAATATAGAATGAAAGAGAGAGGCACCCACTATGTGCTCTTTAGGCCTTTTAGGGAATACAGAGTTGGACTTGGGGTGAATGCATCCGCAAATCTACAAGAAGGATAACTTTGTAAACATCAGCAGAATGGGCACTGTTGAAAAGGAACACCCATAAGTGTTGCCATGGCAAAACAGAAGGAGTCTACAACATCACTAAGCATGCTGTAGGCATCATTTTGTAAGAAAGCTAAGGCAGAACCCTTGTCAACAGATGTGTGTGCTGAGCACAAGCAGCACACTGAGAGTCAAGACGGCTTCCTGAAATGAAGGAAGGAAAACCAGAAGGAAAGGGAAGCAGAGAGGAAAGCACCTGGGCTCCAGCCTGCCGCCCCCAGAGAAGCCCAGCTATCGCGTACTAACCGGAAGGAACCTGAGTGACCGGAGCCCATTGCACATAAATTCATAGACCTGAGCTACCTAAAATAATCCTGGTAGGAAAGCTGACATTTTAATTAGCTGGATGTGCATCTGTTAGATTTTTTTGTTTGCTTGCTTGCCTGGGGTTGTTTTTGTTTTGCTTTTTGGCCCTGGAGATGGGATTCAGAGCCCTGAGGATACTAGGTAAGTGCTCTAGTACCCAGCTAGTCCCAGACCAGTTGTTTATATTTCCAGTATTAGCAGTAGTTTTCACTTAAGCCCTCGGGAATCTGGAGAGGCCTGCATCGTGTCTGGAAGCATAACTTGTTTTGAGCGTGAGCCAATCCTTGAGCCCTCTGGAACAGGCCACTGCTGGAGATAGTTGAAAGGGAAGGGTCTGCAGGAAAGATACACAAAGGCCTGTTGGATCACTGCACATTGGAGGCAATGTTCTTCCAAAAGGCAGCGGTGGCCCTCCAAGTAAGCAATCATATCACAGTTCGGTGCGGTGTCTCTAACGGCAGGCTGTCTGGCTGTCACAGACAGTGGTGGCCATCATCCCTTTCTTATCTTCTATGAGCGCACCCCCTCGAGCTCCCCCCAGTCCCATAATTCCTACGGCACTCCCTCTTGCTAATGTGGGTATGATACTCAGGCCTGTAGTGCAGGTTTGGGTTTCAAGATTTTTTTTTCTTTTTTAACCTACAAGAAAGTTTAAACTGGTATCTTCCAATATTGGTTAGGAAAGAAAGGTATTCGGCATGGTGCAGCGCCACCTGTTGGCTGAGGGCAGAGTACACCTGCATGAATGCTCTCCAGATGCTTTAGGGGAGGGCACGCAGACAGAATCTCTTCCTTATAAACTCCTTGCTGTTTTTTTAAAACACGAATGTGTCCTCATTCTGAAACTGTGGTCATAAGCAGCTGTTGAGACATGAGGTCAGGGACAGTGGGACATCATGCAGAGAAGAGAGCCCAAGGCAAAGCCATGCCTCTGTGTCATCTGACTTCTGCACAGCAGTGGAGAAACTGGACACACCGGCCTGTCTCCTCACCAGTGAGCAGAGATCCTTCCAGATGAATCACTCCCACCCCCACCCCCCCAAATGCTGAAAGCAGTCAGCAGAGCTTACGAGAACACGCCAGAGAAACTCCGCCGGAGAAACTCCTCATGAACAGGAGGTTAGCAGAGACCGATTTAGAAAAGATACCAGCCACAGACAAAGCATGGTGATCCATTGAATTTCATTAAAATGAGATACTCTGTTTACAGATGTGAAGAGATGAGGAGGAAAAGCATGATAGGGTAGGGGGAGACTCCTGAATACATATATCTGGGCCAAGGTCCTGGAGCCAGAATGTCTACAGACATGGGGAATCCTAAAACAAGACATCTAACCCATCGGTGTCTAGCGGGCAAAGATTTTGACAGGCGTCACACTTCAGAAAAGAAAGCATGATATATAGCTCCATGGCAGAACTGTTGTCTAGCGTGTACAAAGCCCCGAGTTTGATTCCCAGCACTGGAGAGGAGAAAAAAAAATATCGAAAAGGTGATAATCAACATCATTAGTTTCGTCTTGGTGTTGAGGAAAATACTCATTAAGATCACCACATGCCTCCAGAATGGCTGAATTTTTAAACACTGTGATTCCAAGGGTTGGTGACAGTGTGAGGAAGCCAGCCTTGGGCTGACCAGGAGACTGTCTGTGTGGCTCTGATGGAGCTAACCTGGTGTGTGCATTTGCAGAACTTAACTCCAATATCTTCTTACCATTCTTGGAATTCATTACAGCCCTGTTATCCTTTATCCAAAGGGAGGGGTTTACAATGTTACAAGAGACTGAGTGAGCAGACATTGCTATCATCATTGACACTAGTCAATCTTAATAGCAAAACAAGGGACAACCAGAAATGTCTTACGCTTGCTTAAGGGAAAATGTGTAATTTTTTAAGAATGGAAACATTGAATTGACTGTTCCTCCACCCAAGGTCCTTTCCAGAAACTGCTTTCAGCCCCCAATTTGCAGGATACAAGTGTCAAAGACAATATATCAAATCATATCGGAGATGTGAAATGAGTGAGAACGTCTAGAATGTGGGACTCCACAGAACAAGCAGCCCACTTCCACATACTCTTGAGGACAAAGAGGAAACCTGTCACCGTAAATTTCTTTAAAAAAACAAATATGTACACATTGCTTAGATGTAGGGTTTTTTTAAAGTCAGTAGAAGAAAACATCTAGGAAATTAGGACTACTGCTTAGATACTCGATATTAAACCAGTAATGCTAGGCACTCTGATGTTTCACTGGATCAAGGTGCTTGCTGTGCAAGCCTGCCAAACTGAATTCAACCCCAGAACTCACATAAAGATGGGAAAAGCGGATCCACTCCACAGAGTTGCCCTCTGACCACCACATGGACAACATGTCATGCCCCTCCCCCCTTCAAAAGAGATAGCAGTATCGTGTTTAAGAATAAGTGAAAGGCCGTTCACCTCCTTATAAAAGAAGTTAATGCATGGAAGCACAAGAGGAACATTCTAGAAAATACAGATGTGCTCCACAAAGGGTATGCCTTCAGAACAAGGGGCCAACCTGATGGGACTCCTCATGGGTAGAGGGGGAACAATTTGAGGCAAAGATAATTGCTGATAGATTTTTAGCACATGTCATGAAATGTTCAGTGTCTGCCTAGGTTGGCATGGATAATAGAAAACAATGCATCTTCAAATGGTGGGAGAGGTAGCTATTTCTTATGGCAGAAATGTTGATCAAGGGAAGGAATTATAAGGTCAACACTGGATAAATGAGACTATCACAATTAATTGCTGAAAACGAGATCCACCATGGTGTATGGAAGTCGGTGGTGGCTGAGGAGAGTCGGGATATTTGCACAGTCCCAGAGTATCTCGCCCCTGGGTACCACACTGCGTATTAACTACAAAGAGAAAGATAATAACTTGACGATGAAAGTGCTCACCGGCTCCCTCCTGTGGGCGAGAGGAACATCCCTGGGACTGAGACATGAACCCTGTAGAGGGCGTACAGCTTCCTCATCGCCAGCGACAAAGAAACACTAGAGGAACCCATGTGAAAGGCCGCTCCACGGTGGGATTTGTGCCCGGGGACACGGGTCTTTTCTGAGCCTCCTCTCCCGCATTCTCAAAGCAGCTGCCTCGGGAAGTGGCCATAGAAAGACAAGGGAAAGCTGGTAAACGGGCAAACTGTCCCACACTGGAGAAGGTTAAAGAGACATGAGATGACCACTGGATGCAAGAGTAGATCCTGGACCACAAAAGGGACCTTAACACAGAGACTGGTGAAACGTGACTCAGGTCTGCAGTGAGGTAGAGCTGTTACCTCCTGATTTTGATCATGTGCAGTGGTTATATAGAATGAGGTACATACTCACTGAAATATTTCCACACTGGGCCCTTTGTATAAAAATCAGTAAGGCAGACAGGCGGTGGTGGCGCATGCCTTTAATCCCAGCACTCGGGAGGCAGAGGCAGGCGGATCTCTGTGAGTCTGAGGCCAGTCTGATCTACAGAGTGAGCTCCAGAACAGCCAGGGCTACACAGGGAAATCCTGTCTCACCAAAAAACACTGCCCAACCGTCTGCTTTCTTCTCCAACAGGAACGGAGGGGGCCGTAGTGGCACGTTCTGTGCCATCAGCATTGTCTGTGAGATGCTCCGACACCAGAGAACTGTGGATGTCTTCCATGCTGTCAAGACCCTGAGGAACAACAAGCCCAACATGGTGGACCTCCTGGTAGGATGCCTCCCTGTCCTGCCCCGTAGGGTGCCCCGGGGTTGCGTAGGGTTTCCCGCTGGCTCCCGCATGAAGATGCTCCATTGGGCAGGACACTCTTCTCCTGACGTGGTTCGCCAGGGGACCTTCCTCCTCCCTTTCTCTCCTGTAGAGGAGACTCCTTCAGCTTGGTCGAAATGTAGAAAGAGTTGAGACTTACAAGCGAGCATTCCTGTTTCCCTTCCTGGCGGTGCCTTCTGCGCGGCTAAGCCCTTAAGTCTTAGTGGAGAGGAAATAATCATAGTACAAGAAATGCCAGATTTTCAAATTATAGATTTTATAAATAGCGTAATCGCCTAATAGTTAACCAAAGCTGCGCGTTTCAGTTCGACACACGGAATATTGCGTTTAATTGCGGTGGCCGTATCTGAGAAGAGGATCAAAGGGAGCCAAGAAACTAAGGAGTAGGTGCAGTTATTTTCTCAAAACACTTGACAAAAAAAAATCCCTCCATTTTTTTTTAACATGGAGCTCTTAACATGCCAGCCATGGTGAGTCAAGAATAGAAGTAAAGTTTCACGGAAGAGGCTCTGCTCTCGGGTTCTGTACGTCTCTGTGAGTGATCTGAAGGGAACCAGAGCACCCACGCAGGGCCTGGACAGAGAAGAGGGAGGAAGAGGCACACCACACTGTGTTCTGAGGCTTTGGTTCTGCAGAGTGCTGTTAAAGCCCAAAATGCAAAAGGGGGCCGAGAATCGAACTCACACTGAGATAGTAGCCAAAGGTCCACGTGCTACGTGAGGTGTTGCTGCAGCAGTGCCCGGGGTGAGGGAATCGTGTGACCTCCGACAGCCAGCTCTTGGGGCATAGCCAAGTCCTCAGCACAGGCCACTCTCCAGTGACATCTGGTGTCCCCAGACAGTGGCTTGTGCTTATAGTCCACATCTGGGAAGCATGGCGTTATCCAGGGACTCTAAAGGAAGGGCTCCTTGGCTCGGTGCATCCCCTCAAACCTGCGGGCCGTTACGTCAACTCTGCCAAGCAGACTCCTGTTTCCCCAAACGCCTGCCTCTTCTTCCTCCCCTATAGGAAAACCAAAGAATGCAAATAGAGTCTCAGCTGTGCTGTTAACTAGATGACCTCAAACACCCAGACTTTGCAGTGCTAGAATCCTTGAGTTTTACCTTTGTCAACCAGGTATGAAAATACCTGTGAATGTGTTTGAGTCAATTGAGTGTGTAGCTGTGCACTGGGTATGATGAAGCCTTTGTGACCCCTGGGACACGGTCATATCTAAGTGACATTTAGCATGTGCCAGGCACGGCTCCTGTCCTAGTTCAATGGTAATAGACTCCATGAACATGGCCTATAAGGTATGCTTGTGTACAGAATTCCCTGGAGCCAGCTAAGGATTGTCATGTGAGTGGTAGAGCCTTCACCTTTCTGGGCTGAGAGGAGAGCAGCCCTAGTTACTGTCACCCTGAGTTGGGGACAGGGAAGGAAAGTTCAGATTCAGACTTCACCTCAGGGATAGATGAAGCTCACAGACTTCAGTTAGCACTTGGGCAGAGGCATTCGGGATAAAAAATGTCAGGTCCCTCACTGAGCCTGAGTTAAGCACAGCGTTAGAAGTATCCCATCCAGGCCCTCCCTATAATGTCTCTACTGAGACGGTCATCACTCTGGAGCTTTTATGGTCAGAAACAACCAGGCTTTTTTCAAGTCAGTGGTTCAGATTACAGGCCAGGGCGATTCTTCATGAGATGAATGGGGGCTCGGGTGGCTGGCCAGAGGGAGCCTGTGCTGCAGACAGTAGTCTCTATTCCTGTTCTATAACGACATTGGAGTCTGGGTTGTTATAAAGCAATGTCTTCTTTAAAAAAATAATTTCATTGGCTTACCGTAACTCAGCATGTTTATGGGGTACAGTGTGACATTTCAGTACAGGTGTGAAATGTATAATGATCAGGGCACCGGTAGCCGGTGTATCTGTTGCTGCAGGCATTATTTTTTTCATTCTTTGTGTTGGGAACCCTTCCAAATCCTCTCTGAAGGCTGTTTGGAAACATTTAACTCATTGTTGTCAACCACGGTTCCACGCTGTGTCCCGTACAGCTGTGGATGATTCCACTGCAAATACAGGGTCCCGGAAGCCCGGCAAAGCTGAAGGTCAGCCCTGATCTTCTGAGAAGGTCAGCGACAAAGAAATGAAGTTGCAAGATTTCCAAAGAAAGCCATCTGCCAATCTGTCACGGTGACTGTTAGCAAGATATTAGCTGGTGACCAGAGGAAAAATGTCACAATGATCTTTTTTGTCTGGTTTTGAAGCTTCTGGGCCTGAGTAAGAAGATCTTGTATTCAGGTTTTTTCCCCCTCCATGAAGCATAGTATCTTTCTATTTTAAAATTCAGAAATGTTGGCTGAAGGAATTAATTAGCTCTGGTCAGCATGATAAAGTCTGGTATGGCTGTTCCATGTGTAGCAGGCTATCGGAGATCTGAGAGAAAAAAAAAATTGGGGCCAGCCATTGAGACGGGTACTGAACGTGCAAGCTGCATATCTAAAGGGTGAGTATGTTCCAGAAGGCTTGGGGCATGTTTCTGAGCTGATCAGTCAGGAAACAGGGTGGATGGAGTAGGACACCAATGCCTGCTCCCCACTGAGTCTCATCAAACAGCCTATGGGCAGGTGGATACCTACAATGGCACCCTCCATCCCGAACCCCAAATGCTGCCATTGTACCCATTCCCGCCCACGTGGGAAAAATACACAGGGGTTCCTCCCTGTTCCTTTCCTTGTGCCTCTGTGGTTCTGATGTCTCTAAATTGCTCCACTCTGAGAGCTTATGCACTCATTTTGCAGCCTTCTCAAGGATAGCTGGAATACCCTAGGCATCTCTTTCCTCACGTTCTCGGTTTGGGGGCTTAGGAGAAAAGGCACAATAGGTTTCTAGGAAGAAAGTTAAATTAGAATACAAAGGTTACAGAGATGGTTCAAACGTGACGGCCTGAGTTCACGTCCCAGCATCTGTAACACAGGCAGGGTCTCAGAAGTGCCCACAACCCCTGCACTGTATGAGACAGAGACAGGACAATGGCTGGGTCTTGCTAGCTTCCAGCCTAGCCAAAACGGCACATGTTCCAAAGAGAGCCAGACACTCTTTGGAAGAGCCAGAGGAAGAAAGAGGAGACCTGACATGCTGGCCTCTGAGCAGATGTGTGCCTGCACACACACAATAAATGTAGTGATTTAGAACATAAGGTTAGAACATTTTCTGCTCTGACCCCATCCAGCCTGGCTTCCAAGCTATCCATCTGTTTAAGCAGCCCTGTCACCATCCCTAGGTTCTGGGTCCCCAGAACAAACAAGGGCAACTCTGCCTGGTTGGAACTGGAGACGGCGGCTTCGAAGCTGCCGGGGTTGCAGGAAAGAAAAAAGCAGCATTGCCCTCCTCATTGGGCTCTGCCTCAACCAACAGCACCTGGGAATGGTGCTATGTGCCCACCCAGTGCCTTGACCAGAAGTCAGCAGCTGGGACCCCGAGTGCCCTGTCAGGAAATACACGCTCTGATCTTGAGCTACATGTCACCTGGTGCTTCATACCTCTTGAAATTCGGGTAAGACTGGCCAGATCCCTGTACAAAATGGAGACTTGCCCACTCCAAGGTCTGAATGAGAGGAAGGTTCCTATTGTTGCTGTGAGGCAGAGAACAGCCAGGGACATCTGGGAGAGTCCAGAGCATCAAGAGCCAAGTAGGAGACTGAACAGGGCCGTGGCAGGGAGGGGTCGCGGGGACCATGGGAGAGAGGCCAAGACTCTAGCAGGCACGTGGCTGAAATGGCAGGGCTACACAGGAATGAGAAGCTGTGGGAAGGCCAGGCCGTGAGCTAGAGGTTAGGTTAGAAGGGGTGAGAAGATCTGAGAGCAGAGTCTCCCAGCGTGGGACTCTGTGACGGGTACTGGCTGAGAAAGCCTAGAGGCCAGCACGTGCTCTGCTCACAGGCTTCACAGTTAGTCATTTGTGTGTGTGGGGGGGTGTTCTTTTGGACCTGATGATCCCCATCTAAATAGAGGCCCCCTGCCCTTCTCAGGGTTTCCTCAAGGGGCCTAGGAAGTCCCAGGCTTAGTCGTCACTGACACCTGCAACCGCACCATGAAAGCCCACCTCCAAAAGCTATGCCTTGCTCTGCCTGTTACCGTTGGGCACCGGCCACAAACTAGGGACAGATCAGTGAGCATCGGTGCCCTTCCTCTTTATAAGTGGGACAGAAGAGCAGTAAGCCCGACGGGGCGGGGGCAGGTGGCATGGGTCCTATCATCCCGTGGCTACAAAATGCTCTCAGTAGGTGAGGTCATGAAGGCCAGACGGAAAGCCGTGCTCGTTAAGGGCTAGAAGCAGGGAGCGAATGTTTGCCGCCTGGCACAGGGTTGGAGATGTGTTGGAATTTACCTTGTGCTCAACTCTGTAAATACTGAAAACCACTGAACTGTGTCAGACTTACAGCTAAATTTAATTTAGGAGTCTGACTAGGCAATGCCCATCCCATAAAACAGAGTTAACAGGCAGGAAAGTAGAGCCCACGAGGCAGCTTAGGGTTGGGCACCAGACTCACCCTTCATGTTAGCTCCGGAAAACTAAGCCCTGCCTCGGTGGCCATTTCCAAGTTTAGTGTGTGTGATAGATAGGTAGCCATACGGTTCCGGAAGCTTGACGGCGAGGTCTCACTCCCTTCAGCTGTCTATTGAGTGGCGGTGAGGATGCTCATCAGTGTGGCCTGTGGGAAACAACCATCTCAAACCACCCACAGTTATTTGCACACAGGGACCACCTTCAGCTTCCTAGCAGGAGGATTTTCCCAGCTAGAAGTGTCCCGTGGCCATTGTGAAACCTGACTGAGTTCCAGACAGGTTACCTCAGGGAGGGAGGTTTGCTAAAGTAGGCTGAACAGACTATTCTGAGTTTTGAGCACGTGACATGCAGTGTTTGATGCGCCCAGACTGACTGTGGCCGGCCCCCTCAGCTCCTCCGGCACAGGCAGTGTGTGCCGGCAAAGGCAGAGTGCCAGCCCTTCACGGGAATGCCTCAGAACTGTCCTCAGGAGCCCTAACCTTGTGACTCCCATGCTCAGCCAGCCACCTGCCAGGACATTGAAAGAGTAGCTTCAGGTTCCATTTCAGAAGTCACCCCTTCCCTCCTCACAGGGGCCACAGCCGGTCAGAATGAGTCTTGAGAGGAATAGCAAGTGGCCGTGATGGGACCCTGCTGAACCTCTGCTCTGCATATTTGGACCAAGGCGCATATATATATATATTTTTTTTCTCGGAAGCATGGGGATAGCTCATGTGGCTTAATTATACCATTCAGAAGCAGGGGAGCTGTGGAGGAAGCTGAAGAAGACAGGGCTGTACCTGGTGATCAAGTGTAATCAGTTTCCAACATAGGAAGATTTGAGGCTTTTCCCAGGTGTGTGAAGGAGGGGCCGTGGCAATCTGTGGTCTTTCCTTGCCTTCCCCTTGTCTTTATGATTCAGAAACCGGTCATCACAGAATCTATGGGATTGGCAGCTTGTGATGGGAGAAGGGGAACTCATTTTGAAAATTATAGTCATATCTGAGACAGGGCAGCTCTGGTGACCGCTGGGGCCACAGCAACTTAGCACAGAAGCCTAAAGTCCCTCATGAGTCCCCCACCTTTTGTTGTGACCCGAGGCCGGCAGCCATGCAACCCTATTCACTCTGTTTGGATATATAAAGGGACACTGTCTGTGGTAGTCACTGAAACTAATTGCACAGTTAAATCTGAAAAGAATCATTTTATGCAATGAGGGATTACATTTCCATAAAAAAAAAAAACATCACCAGGATTCACATAAACTGGAGCGATGATTGGAGCACATGGTGGCCAATTTGTCAGCATGGCAGTCCTCCGACAAAAAACGGCCTCTTA